GGGTAGGGAATCATTGAATCACGAATAGAGCGGCAATAATAATAATAATAATAATAATAATATCAAAACCAATCTCAGATATTAATATTAACATATTATATATATATATATATATATATATATATTTCCTTCTTTTTTTTTCTTCTGTATTGTATTTACTGTTGTGTCCATCTTCTCAAATGAGATAAATGCTGCTTTTTTTTTTTCCTTTTGTTTTCATTTTACCCCCTTAAAAACCGGATGTGTAGATGCGAAATAATCAGCAACGACAACAGAAAGAGTCTGTGTATATGTACGCGTAAGAGCTGAATACAGTTATCATCACTATCCGCAATAGCAATCAAAGACCATCATCCTTATCATTATCAAACAAACAAAACACGCAAATGGAATCCAATAATAATAATAATAATAATAATAATAACAAAAACTAAACTAAAAAAAAAAGGAGAATCGCCTACCAAACTACATCTTTTTTTTTCGGCTTCTGTTGCTTTACTCTTTTTTTTCCCCCTGCGGCTCCCCTCTTTTATTTCCTTCTCTCTTCAGACTACCGATAGTATTGTAGTTGGCCGATACGCTCAGGAAAAAACAAACAAACAAAAAACAAAAGCGAGAAACACATATAGTCACCGCACATAAACACAATATACGCACAACATAGAGAGAAAAAAAAAGAGAGAATATATATATATATATATTCATTTATGAGATTATAAACAAACAGAGAGAGAGAGAGGTTAAGTAAGATGGGAGTAGAGGACATGTGTGATGTCAACAACAACAATAGTAGAAATGGAATGCTTGGCAAAAAAAAAAGTGAGAGAAAAAGAAAAAAAACGTCAATGGAAGAAACGCATTCCCTTTTTTTTTCTCTCTTTCTCTCTATCCTTACATACCATCTCAACATCAGAGACTCCTCAGAAAATACCCTTTTCCATCATTTTCTCTTTTTTTCTTTCTTACTTTCTCTTTATCCAGAACGTTCATTCATTAGATAAGAGAAATATATACACACACACACAGAAACAGACAAAACAAATGAAAAAAAAACAAGAAATCTTTTTCTTTCTCTGTCATTCTCTCCTTTCCATTTCTCACATCTTCTCTCTATTTTATACAATCATCATTCTCTTTTTCTTCATCTCAATGGTAACACTGCGTCCCTTCTTGATATTCCTGAGCATTACTTACTTGGTGGTGCAGAACTATTTACACTACTACTTCCTGTTTCCACAGGACGAGCAAAACAAAACAACAAAAAAAAAAAAAAGAAACAAAATAACATTTATCACACATCGCAGCAACGTTTGCTTTAAACAATACACAACTTTCTCTCTTTTTTTTTCTTTTTTATCTTTTCTGTTTTTTTTTTCTTCTTCGTTGGTTTGGCCATACTAGTTTATCTTATTCATTCATTGTTTCTTTTTTTTTTGTCCCTTTCATCGTTTTCATGCAATTAATTGATAATAATATATACGTATATATATATGGGCAATATGTGAATACTACGTGTGTCTTTCCTCCCTTCCTCCCTCCCTCCCAACTACACACAGATAGACACTGCGAGTGCGAGAGACACTCGTATTTTATTATTATTTTTTTTTTTTTTGTTTACGCCTTCAGAGTGCGTGCGAGTTCATCCGCGACGCTGTCGAGAAATCCCTCTGTTGTCTCGTAATGCTCCCGCTGCAAATTCTGCCCATGCACGCAGAGTGCGAGATCTTTCGTCATGTGCCCCGCCTCGACTGTCCGCACCACTGCGCGCTCCAAGGTGGCGCTGAAGTCCAGCAGCGCCGTGTTCGCGTCGAGTTTCCCGCGGTGGGCGAGTCCGCGGGTCCACGCGAAGATGGAGGCGATGGAGTTTGTGCTCGTTTCTTTTCCTTTTTGGTGCTCGCGGTAGTGGCGGGTGACGGTGCCGTGGGCGGCCTCCGCCTCAATGGTGCGGCCGCCCGGGCAGAGAAGAACGGAAGTCATGAGGCCCAGCGATCCAAATCCCTGCGCAACAATGTCACTCTGCACATCGCCGTCGTAGTTCTTGCAGGCCCACACAAATCCACCAGTGCCTTTCAGGGTTTGGGCGACTTGATCATCAATGAGACGATGGGCATAGGTGAGTTTAAGCTGTTCAAACTGTGGTTGATACTTGGTCTCATATAGACGCTGGAAGGTGTCAAGGAAGAGTCCATCATACTTCTTTAGAATGGTGTTTTTAGTGGTGAGAATCAACGGGTATTTTCGCATAATTGCATACTCAAAACAACTCGTGGCAAATGCCTCTACACTTTCACGGGTATTGTACATTGCAAGTCCCACACCTTCGCCTTTAAATTCATATACTTCCAACACCGTTGGGGGACCACCAGCGGTTGGTGTATGCACAAGTTCCAATTTACCAGGGGGAAATACCGCATCTGTTGCCTTGTATTGATCACCAAAGGCATGTCGACCAACAATGATAGGATTTTCCCATTGTGGAACCACACGTGGGATATTCTTAATAATAATGGGTTCACGAAATACAGTACCACCGAGAATATTACGAATAGTTCCATTAGGGCTTTTCCACATCTTCTTAAGATTAAATTCCTTCACACGAGCCTCATCTGGGGTAATAGTGGCACACTTAATTCCCACATTATAACGAAGAATAGCTTCCGCTGCCTGTTCCGTAATCTTATCATTGGTGGCATCACGACTGGTGATGCTAAGATCATAGTATTCAATAGGAACATCCACATAAGGAAGAATGAGTTTCTCCTTGATGAGAGCCCAAATAATACGTGTCATCTCATCACCGTCCATATCCACCACTTTACCCGTAACTTTAATACGTTCCAAAGAAGGACGTGTTGTACTCATATTCCTTCTGGTTGTCATGCATGTGAATGGTAATGATGATGAGGCTGCCGCTGCCGCTGCTGTGGCGACGAGAGCATTGGAAGGTGTGGCACGTACTAGACGACGGAACATATTCCTGTTTCTTTTTTTTTTATTTTCTTGTTCTTTCTTCCTTCTTCTTTTAGTTCGGTTTTCTATTCAGCGCACAGAGGCTCGTAACGTATGTGAGTGTTTTTTTTTTTTTTTCTGTTTTCGGTCCTATTGCTGTTCTTTGAGTATCTTGTGAGTGTACGCTGTATATACCGCGATATCACCCCTGTTAATATTTCTTATAACCGATAAGAAAAGCAAAGAAGGGTTAAGTGAAGAGAAAGTAGGCGTAGAGAATTCATGTAAAGCATATGAGAATATATATATATATATATATAGAAAGACATAAAAAAAAAAAAAACAATAGAGAATGAGAGAATGAGTAAGCGAGATATATATGCGAAACAAACGCGTCAAATAACACACACAATATATTTCCAGAAGAAAAAAAAAACCTGATATAAGATCAAATCCACTCGTGTTGCGTAGTGGAGGCACAGCAAGAAAAAAAAAAAAAAAAAACACATGAAAAAAATTGAACAGGATGTCTCAACACAAGTGCAAGTAGAAGAATACAAAAAAAAAGATCAAAAAGAAAAAAAAGTTCCATTTATACATGGTAAATGACGCGTAAGAGAAGGAGAAAGGGAGAGAGAAGAAAAAAAAAGAAGACATATATATATATATATATATATATATATATATATATATATATATATATATATAACAAATAAACCAAAATTGTACAAGTACTACATGTATTCTTCTCTCAAGAAAAAAAAAAAAAAAGAGATACATCCTTTACTTTCTCTCTGCTTCTCGTTGACTCATACAATTGCTTGAACAGTGAATTCACTGTGATTTACCTTGTTGTACATCTGATGGCTGTTGTGGTTTTTGGGATTGTTGTGGTTGTGATTGTGGTTGTTGGGACTGTCGTGGTTGTCGTGGTTGTTGTGTTTGGGATTGGGATTGTCGTGGTCTGCGCATCACTGGGCTGATGGAGCGGCCCACAACGCCGAGACCCCAATTCGCCATGGACATCTGCAGTTGGGCGTTGAGTCGCTGGGCGGCCAAAGCGGCGGGGGATGTGAACACATCCACATGAGCCAACATACGCCGCACAAAGGGATTCCCCATACTCTGCTCCAGTCCACTTCTCCCCCTCCGTCGTCTCAGTGTGCTCTCCACTCCCGCTGCCGCCGCGTACTCTGTTTGGGTTTGGGCTGGCAAGAAAAGCACCGCGTCGCTGTGGGCCGGTTGGGCGCCGCGCAGCATTGGGAAGATGTGATCGCCGGGCACGCCGTAGACCCACGTGGTGTATGCGGAGACTCCTCCCCGCGGCGGTGTGGGGCGGTGGGTGTTGTCGTGAGAGCCGTTGGGCCCGCCGGCCGGTGGGAGAGTCGCGGCGGCGACGGGAATGGCGAAGGTGGGGTGAACAGTGGGGTCCAGCGCGAGACGGTGACCGCCGCGTTCACGGGCCACAGCGAGTCGATACGCCAAGACACGAGCGGCGAGTTCTTCCGGTGTAAATGGCGTTCGTTCCACTGCGGCTGCTGCACTCGCCGTCATTCGAGGCTTAGGTGGGGGAGGCTCAGATGAGATGTACACACGCCTTCCAATATCATCCTCATCGTCTTCATCATCTTCTTCGTCCTGATCTTCTTTTGATGGTTGTGCCTTTGGTGGTGGTTGTGGTCCGTATCTTGGTATAGGTAGTGGTCGTGGGGATCCGTCTGGATTTAGATAGTCCGCGATGCTATTACCACGTTGGAGTTGTATTTGTTGAAGTTGTTGGAGTTGGGCGCGGCTGAGACCGCGTGGTAATACAGGTGGAAGTCCATCTCCATCCATGTTTTCTTCTGCCAGTGCGAGGAGGTCTTCATTCAACCTGAGATAAGCCAATCGTTTAGAGACTTCTGCGGATACATCGCCGTGTACATCTGCACCGAATACGGTTTGTCCTGGTAGATGTCGTCGGCGTAGAATGGCGTGTCGTTTGTTTGGAGGAACTGTACAGCGGTAAATAGAAGGGGAAAGTACACGTCGCAGTGAAGTGTAATCACCGCCTTTAGCATTATCATCATCAGAGGAATCCTTATCGTCATCGGTTGTGCTATTAATATTACTACTAGTAGTACTACAATTATTCATTCTTAATCTCTCAGATTCTGCCATTTTTCTCCTCCTTGCCTGCAGCATTTCTCTTTTGCGTTGACGTAAGTTTGCCATCAATTCATCCAAGTGATATTGTCGCTGTTGACTAACATTCGCTAATGCTTTACGTACACGATCTTGGGAATCAGTGGTATCTTCATTTGGTATATTCTCAGCTTCTCCTTCCATAAGAAGATCAAGGATTCGTTGTGGAATCTCACCCACATCTACTGTCTCATTGCTTAGAAGTCTCGCAACTTCCTCATCTGTGAGTGCATCATCATCATCACCATAAAGGATATCATTATATGAACTATGCTTCTTCTTATATTTGCCACTGCGGTGATGAAGAAGGTCTGAAAGGGAGGTGTCCCGTTGACTATTCTTCTTCCTCTTACCATCACCACCACTACTACTACTACTACTATCCTCATCCTCTTCATCATCCGTATCATTATATTCATCATCAGGAGAATGTCGATGTCGACGTGCGTGTCGGTGTTTACTCATGGGATATTTCTCTGCATATTGGGTGAGTTGTAGTATTAAACGAGCAAGAAGTGAGGTATCAATAGCCATTAAAAATCGAGCATTCACTTCTCCTTCTTTCTTCTTTTCACCAGACATTTCCTTTGCAATTTGTTCCTCAAGTTCTCTCGTCTCATACTGTAGTATCGGTTGTAATACTGGATGAAATTCACTCAGAGTATTAAGAAGTTGCACAAGTGTTTGATGATGACTTAGATAGAGTGAATCAAGAGAATTTGAGTTCTGATCATCATTATCATTATAATGACTAACTTTTTTCGCTTTATTAATGCCCGTATTACTTAACGCCATGAGTTCTTCTTCAATCTTTTGCTGATGTTCTTTTTTCATGGGATAAAGTTCTTGTAGTGCCGCACGACAAAGCATCACGGCTGGAGTTGCATGTACTGAACTTGCACAAGAAGCAATATCTATTAAAGGTTTATGTTCTTCTTCTTTTTCTTCTTCTTGTTGTTGTTTCTGATGTTGAACACTTAAAGTAGGATGACGTTGATGATCATGAGGATGAAAGGATTCCTTTGATGTTGCTGTATTGGATTCATTAATAGATGCCTCACTATCGGTTATATCTATACCCGTTGCCGCCCCTTCACTAGTACTCTGTGGAAATAACACACTCTCTACAGTCTCTGTGGAGGCTTGAGTTGTGATCTCCGCCTGTATTTGTCGTTCCATCTCTTCTTCTACTGAATATAAACGAACTACCGCCTGTGCGTAGGATTCACAGTTTTCACCGCTTGCAAGAAATTTCTCAGCAACAGCAAGTGTAGCTTTATGTTCTTCTTGTAGTTTTTCTATGGATTTATTATTACCAACACTAGTACTAATACTGCCGCTAATGTTACCAATAATCGTATTATTATTAATAATACTATTATTATTATTATTATTATTATTACTACTACTACTATTGTTGGTATCCTCAGTGTAACCAAATAGAGTTGGATCATTTTCCACACCCAGTGATTTGTTAATATCCATCAGTTTTCGTACATGCGTTGCATACACTTGACCTACTTTACGAGCCTCTTCACGGGCTTCTTCTGCAGTAACATCATCACTACGTTCTACAGCGGCACGTACCTTTCCAAATAATTGATCCAATCGTTGCATAAGGGCATTTGCACTCTTAGTGGTGATCATTTTTTGAATCTTCATATTTTCTTCATTCTTCTTTTCGTTTTCATTGCTTGTCGCTGCTGTAGTATTACTGTACCGTTTACCCACCTGCACATCTCCTTTTTTCTTCCCATTCGCACCTCCCTTTACTTCTGAAGTAGTATTAGTAGTAGTAGTAGTAGTAGTAGTAGTAGTAGTAGTAGTAGTATTAGTCTTACTACTGTTCTTGGTTTTACTTCCACTCGTATTTGTACTATTTACAGTTGCAGGACCTTGTGTTTCCTCAGAGACTGTTGACATCCCATCTCCACTTGCTATTCCCTGTTTCTTGCCTTTATTATTATTATTATTCTTTTTCTTACTCTCATTGCTTTTATTCTCCACCGTCGTAGCAGCCGTACTAGCCACACTAGCAACAACACTCGGTGCATACTTTTTCTTCTTTCGCTTCCCACCGCCGCCCTTCGCCGCTTTCTTCTGTCCCTTTTCTAATCGCATCACCTCCTCAAGTTGAACAATACGACGTTTCTGCAATGCAATCATACTCACCGCGTCTGCCAGTCGCTCCTCCAGGCGGGAATTTCTCTCTGAAAGGCGACCAAACTCCCAATTACTTCTTCTCGATGAAGCACGGCTGTCATCTTGTTGTTGGAAACAACGCTGTTTTAAAAGGGCAATCTCACTTCGTAATCCCGCAATCACAGAGTCGGCCACTCCTGCGAAATTAGCGTTCTGCGTATCCCCGTCGACTGCAGCGGAATTATTATCTCCATGAGTTCCCACATCTTGTTGTTGTTGTTGTGTAAAAGTGGCTTCAAACAACTCGGTGGGTCGTGTGGAGTCATCTGTGTCTATGGATCCATATGAACCTTGTAAAGTGAGTAAACCCGAAAGGCCTCGTCTTCCAATACTTCCATTAAATCTATTATTTAATTGATCTTGTTGTTGTTGGCGTCTGTATGATGGTCGTCGTTGCACAGATTCGTACCCTGCGAGTTTCTCTGCTGCCTCCAGTAATCGTTGTTTTAATACAAATATCTGCTGTTCTTTGCTAAGTGAGACATGTTGATTAAATCCATCATCGTACTTACCAGAGAGAGATAAGAAGGAGGCACGTGTACTACCAAATCTGTGATTATGCTGGCCTTGTTGATTTGGTTGTTGTTGTTGTTGCTGTTGTTGTGTATTTGGTGTTTCCTCTCTTGTTTGTGCAACTTCTTCTCGCAGAAAAGCAAGAATACGTTCATTTCGCTCAAGTTCCGATACCAATCGTGCAATTTCACGTTGACATGCCGCTATAGCCGCCGATTGCACTTCATCTGCCTCATCCACAAGTACATCTTCATAGACTTCATTCTCCATATCGTTTTCATCATTCATCATACCTTTGCGATAATCTGATCCTGTATAGTTTCCATTGAAATTAACTTTACGACGCACAGCACGTTTTACAGTTTGTGCAGGTCGCATGATTCCAGCCAAAGTATCTCTCGCTACGGAGAGGGATGCCAATTGTTGTTGTTGTTCCTGTTCACCACCAGCAGTCATACGTACACCATGCATATTCATTGGGGATGGAGGTGCTAAACAAGCAAGACGTGGAGAAAGTGCAACCCCAACACCTTCATATTTATATCCAATACTTTCATCAAAGACATAACGTTGATCTGCACGACCACGACGACTTTGCATTCGTGAAGATAAAGAAGAGGGAGTGGGGGATGGTCTCCCTTGTTGTTGTTGTTGAAGTGTCAGTGTCTCATTAAGGTTTGCACTCCCATTTTCAGCATTACTCCTAGTATCCATATCATCATAGGTATCATCTAATAATATATTGTTGTAATTACGGTTACCACTACCCATATCATTCTGCTCAAGCAATAGGTGTCGTACACTACGGTAATTGCCTACAGCCGCCTTACGACGCACATCATTACGCCATCGTGCTGTGGCGGACATAAATAATTCTGTACAGAAGTTTACCACTTTGTGATCAAAGCAGCGACGCAACACCAAATCACATCCAAACCCATATGCTTCCTCTAAGGAGGCACTATGTTGCGGTAATACTAACATACCAGAAGTACGATTGGTGTAACTGTCATAAAGGAGTAATACAATAATAAGATTCAGTCCATATTCACGGTCAAAGAAGCGAAGGTGATCTACAATATCACTGAATGGTTCATGTGTGAAAGTATCCACAATAACGAGACGTGCTAACATATCAGATGGTGGAGCTTTCTGCAATGCACCGTCTAGATCTGCACTACAGACAGATGAACAAGGACTTGGAGGATCACACTCTGTTGTCTTTGTTGTTGATGGAACTATCGTGGAGGTTACCCCGGATGTACGGGATGCTGCAGGTCCACCTTTTTGATCTGCCAACTGCTCTCGCTCTTGTTGGGATTGTTGTTCCGCAGCCGAGAGATTTGTTGTTACTGTAGTGGTGATGGAATGCGATGGAAATGTCTTTCGTGTTTCCGATGTTGTTTCCTCTACTTTACGCCCCACGACGTATCCACCCTTCTGGGCTCTTGTAATTTGTTCCTGCAGAATGGCGGTTGCCTGTGTGAGGGTTTGGGCCTCCGAGACCTTCCATCTATGCATGGCGAGTTGAGAGGCCATCACAGCCATTGTGAGTACATTGCCAGAGACCAGAAGGGCATGAGAACTTTCACTTCGCTGTGGGATTTTCCGCTGCATGGCAACAAAGGCATCCAATTGCATAATACGTCCTTCACGGGAACTTATATTATGCATAAGTACTTCCGCAATAGCATCATTTTCTAAAAGTCTTTCGTATTCCTGATCTCGATCTAATGCCGTACGTCTCTTCTTTTGATCTTGTTGTTGTTGTTGTAATAGTAAATGTTCTCGTTCGAGTGTGGGTTCCTCCGTCATCAGGGTAGCACTCATTGTATTTGCTTCTTCTTATTCTTCTTACCTCACTAAGAAATGACTGCTAGAGGTGAAGAACACTACACCACATTACAGATAAGAGAGAATCAATAATAATAATAATAATAATAAAAAGGAGAAAGATAATAGAAAAAAAAAAAACAAAAACAAAAAACAAAAATAGAAAAGAAAAGGGCACAATAAAAAGAAAAAAAACAAAAGTTAAAGATACTCAAACAAATAAATAATATAAATATAAAGGATCCTCATACCACAAAGACAACGTCACCATTAAGAGTATCAATAGATACAGCAAAATAAAAATGCCGTTTTTTTTTTCTTTTCTCTCTCTCTCTCTCTCTCTCCATCTCTCCACTTCATTGGGTATATTTCATCATCCCTTATTATTATTTTTTTTTTACTTTACGTTTATTTATTGCTGCTCACACGCTGGAGGTGTTGAAAGCTTGACGCCAGAGATTCCCTCCTTTCTTCCTGCCGCTGCAGCAGTGCTACTACTATTATTATTATTATTAGTAGTAGTAGTAGTAGTAGTAGTAGTAGTAGTAGTAGTAGATGTTGTTGTTGCTACTTCTCCAGCAAGCCATGAGGCTGATGGCCCCTGAGCCTTATCATCCTTTACAAAAGCAAAGCAGACACCACGGGGCTGCTCAGACGTTGTTGTTGTTGTTATTGTATCTAAAGATCTCAATGCATCTTTTGTACCGGCGGCAAGAACAAGCACAAGACTGTTGTGCGGTGCCGCTTCAACGATCTGCAGAACACGACGATTCGTCTCCTCCACACGCAATAATTGTTGTTCCTCCCAAGATGCCTCATCCTCCTCTTTTTTTTCCTTTTCTTCTTCTTCTTCCTTCTTTTCCTCATCTTGTTTCTCTTCTTCCTGTTCTTCTTCTTCTTCTCTTCGCCGCACCACGTTCTGTGTGAGTTGTACCCAAGTTAGTGCGTATGTGTCTGGCAATCCATCTACAGCCTGTTGCCGTGCGGCCCGCCGCTGCTGTAGAGATCGCACGGCTTTGCGTACGGCGTCATTATCACTACGCACGGGCACGGCGTTGATGCGATGTCCATTGTGGGCATCCGCATTGCGTGGGAGAAGATCACGAATCACACAGGCATCATCAAATATATTTAACGTCACCGTAGGCGATGAAGAAGATGAGGATGAGGATGAACACATCATCCCAGTCGTCTCTTCCGTTTCTATTGTTGTTTCTGTTGTTTCTGTTGGCATTCCGGCCTGTTCCATGAGTTGAAGAACACTCACCTGCGCGCGGATGCCGAATTGCGGGCCGTGTTGAAGTTTAAGATACACCAACTCTGCACTCACACAGGCATCCTCCGCACTGTCGTGGGCACCTTGTTGAATGCGTCTCTGCAAATACCGCAGAGCGAGAAAACGAAGAGAGTTTTTAAACGGCAAACCAGCCGGATGTGGGAAGAGATGTGCAGAGTCTAAAATATAACAGTTGGGAAGCATTTTACACGCCTTAAAGTCATTCTCCAAACTGTGTCCAACGACAAAAGTAGTGGTGTTGATAAATCGCTTGAGTTCTCGTTGACAATCCTGCAGGGTAGTTTCCACATTGGCTAACATCTCAGCATCTACACCACTATATCGAGTAACGTAATCCACCACCGGCTCTGCGGGTTTGACGAGTGTATCTAATACTACGGTAGCCGCACGTACATCCACTAACGTTAAACGCGCTAATGCACTCACTCGATTGGCTATCAGTACCATTTCACAGTCTAACGCATATACACGTGGTAGGTGATTCTCATTCTTTTCATCACTCACATCATCACTATTATTATTATTGCTATTATTAGGAATAGTAGTTGTAGTTGTAGTTGTCTCCTCTTCAAAGCAACTCCACTCTGATCCCTCACCACCAACCTCATTCTTTTTTTTTTCTCCTCCTCCTTCTCCTTCTTCTTCTGGTACATCCACGACAAATGCGAGACTCTTCAGTAATGCCTTATCCTTTTCCAATGTTAACGCATACTGCAATAGTGTATCTCGATCTTCCCACAGGGATGGATGTCCCTCTGCAGGCGGTAATGGCACCTGCACCGCCTCCACAGGTGAAGATGGCATCACAGTTGCAAAGGACGGTGTTGGTGTAATGACGACATCATCTGTTGGAGTTGTCCCTGTTGGAGAACCGTGAATGGTTAAGGCACGTTTAAAGAGACCACCCACTCCACTTGAATCCGCTGTTGCTACGGTGCTTTTATTTTCATCCACACGATCCTCTCTTATTAACTCCATGGTCTCTCCATGATCACGGCGTTTATTATTATTATTATTATTATTATTATTATTATTATTATTGGGATTCATTGTTCTTGGTGCATCATTACGCCAGAAAATATTATGTTCTAATGTATTTCTCTTATCTGTGATCAACATGGGTGCAAACTGCACTCCACACTCCCGTCGTGCCCAACAGTTCTGTGTGCGTATTGGACTTAACATTGATCGTCCAATAGACTCAGCCCACCTTCCTGCCTCTGACACTCTCACAAGATTATTATTATCATTATTATTATTATTATTATTATTATTATTATTATTATTCTCCCCTTCCTCCTCTTGTCGAATCTTTTTCTTTGGAGGAAGTCGTGTATCGTTTGTTTCTGCTATTGTGATGAGATTTGCCTCACCTGTACTGCATCGCATCATATCATCATGTGTCCATCCATTCACATACACCACCACCACATCACGCAGTCGTGATCGGTTTCGCAGAAAGAACACACGCGGCCCTTCCACTAACGGCACCGCACACGGCACTGTCCACAACAGCAAAGAGGCAATATCACGTGGGAAGAGTACACCACCAGTGCGTTTACGATCCGCCTCTAATTGAAAGAGAATCTCTACAACTGAGAACTGCTCCGCCACAGCAGCCGCTAAAGTATCCTTGAGCTTCATCTCATTGTTGTCATTGTGATCATTACTGTTATTTGTTGGTGGAAGTACTAGTTCACATGCGGGATTCTCAGCAGTGTGTGTTGTTGTTGTTGTTGTTGTCTTTGGTGAATTGGCGCCTGCGGGATGATCGCGTACTTTCACCGCCGGTGATGACTCCGCAGATGACTCACGTCCGCGTTTACCACGCTCTGTCATCATATCTACTCGTTTGTGTTTAGCCGTTTTTTTTGTTTTGTACGCGGTATGCGTATTGTTTCCGCGTTTTACTCGTCGTCTTGCCGTTGTTGTTGTTGTTGTTGTTTTTACTGAAAATGAGTCTATGTCTGTTTCTTGTTTTCTTTTTTTCTTTTCTTCCTTTCCTTTCTCTGTTCCGTAATAGTTTATGTACGCCGTTGTTCTCTTTCCACCTCCTTTATCGCACGGATGCTGGGAAAGGATTACTCCTTACATTATCATGTGAACAGTAGACCCCAGTAAGCAATTAAGTAAAGAAGAGAAGGAAGAGAAATAAGAGATGTGAAACAACAACAACAACAGTGATAGTAACAGTGAGAGCAAATATTAGCAACCATTTCAAAATATGATGTGAAAAAAAAAATACTAGTATAAACATATACACATACATACAAATATATATATATATATATATTCCTTTTCAGAAGTACTGTAGTTCTCTATACCAATTTGTCATATGGACAACACACAAACACACAGACAGACACCTACATATACAAATAAACACATACTCATCCTGAGAGAAATAAATTAATAAACAAATAAATAACCCTTTTTCTTTGCTCATATTATATATTATATATTATATATATATATATATATATATATATACTTTTCTCTTCTGTGCACATTTCATTCCTAATTTCTCGTGAAAACTCCATCAATGGGAATACCGATAGATAGACAAAGATAAAGAAATGGGAGCCTCCCAAAATGCATTCTACCCACAGAGAAAGAGAGAGAGAGGAGCTACAATACTTCACCAGCTCAAAGGCCATAATAAAATAAGAAAAACAAAACGAAAAAAAAAAAGAATTAAACATAAATAAAGGAATAGAAACAAAATACAAAAATAAAATAAAATAGAAAAAAACACGATTGATTAAGTTCGTGAACACCATGTTCATATCACTCAACATTTCTTCTTCTCTCTGAGACTCAGAGAGCACTACACCATTGAAGAAATGAGAAAAAAAAAAAAAAAACGAAAACTCTCCCCTCACTCCCCACCCCACCAAAAAAAAAAAAAAAAAATACATATCGTTTAATAGAGAATAAAAACAATATGTAAAACCATTCTATTCATTCACAAAACACCAAATACTCTGTGAACATATTTAAAGAAAAGAAAAACACAAACACACACACACAGAAATAAATATTAATATTGTTTAACTCAGAGCCATTTATATACGTATGAATAACACACATTGGGTGATATCTCAGTGTGATGCTGGATCTTGATTCCTCTACACATCCACATCGATCATATCACTCCATTCTCTACAAACCTCCTCTTTTCTTTTTCTCTCTTTCTTTCCATTATACACTGTAATATGACCACTGTATATGAGAAAGAAGAAAAAAAAAGAAAGTAATATATATATATATATATATATATATATATATATCTTTTGTTTTCCCCCCTTTCTCTCATTACTTCTGTTGAGGGGGCTTCGCGGCGGGTGTACGAAGTGGATTAGTTCCTTCCTTCCGTTTCCGTACGGCACTGTTCACTGGGGCATCTTTCATCAACTTCCGCCGACGCTCTTCGTAGAGTCGAGTCTCCTCCGCGACACTTCCCTTCTTCATGGACTTTCTTCGCTTCGCTTTGGATTTACGCCGCCGTGCTTCCATAAGTCTCTGTTCTCTCATTTTATCGGAATTACTTCTGGCAACAGGACGAGCCCCTGTTTTTGTATTTGCCGCCTTTGTGTTTGCAAAGGCATTTGGATTTTTCTGTCCTGGATGCAGCAGCATGGGAGCCGCACTGACCCACATATTATATAAATAACGTTGCTCCAAGTATGGGATAAACACAGCCAAGAGAAGGGCCCCAACAAACCATCCAATATTCGAAATCACAATATACCAAGAGGAATCAGGGAGTAAATAAAATCCCATATATTCATCCCGATAACGTACGGGAAGTGAAGGACCTGAGGCATCCTCCAGTACATCCATTAATGTATACGATATACCAGTGAAACTACTATTAAAAGTATAGGCGATGGTATTATTTTGGGCCATATCCGCTAGTAATTGCTGTGCAGCCCAGCCAGGTACACGTACAGTGGCTAGAATAATAATAACAAAATAATTTCCCTCTATTACATCTTTTGTTTCTTTTTCTTCTTTTGGATCAACTGCAAAGCTGTCATCCTTTAATTGTAAAAATGTAATCGATTTATCAGATTCACCAAGTCCAAGGGCTTTACTGAGAACAGAAACGATATCCTCACCAGAGAGTGGTGGACGTTCATATTTGCTGACACTACTGTTGATGATATCGCTTTGTAGCCACAGTTCCATGTTAATAGAATCATTAACAGTGTAAAGACAATTGGGAAGAATAAAATCCCCAAAACACACACATGTACACTGCGGCACCTCTTGCATAACTGCCCCATTATTGCAGTTGCATGCAGGGGCCTTTGCCTCTACCATCATAGTGTGAAGAGGAAAGGTGAAAAAGAATAATATTAATAGTGATAACAGTAATGGCTGCGATAAGAACAAAGAGGGACATGTTGAATGAGAAGAAAATGGACGACGTTGTGTCATTGTAGATACTACTACTTCTAGTACTAGTACTACGAAAAGATTATTTCTTATCAATCAAAGGATGAAAGAATAGTTCATGCAAAGAAGAATGAAGGAGAACCAAAATGAAAATAAAGGGGAAATGGATAATGGATAATAGAAAAGAAAACAAGGGAAATCTAAAGTAACGACAAAAAGAAAAAAAAAAATAATAATAAACACGAGATGAAATGAAATACTATTAAGAAAATTCAAGTAGATATCTACTCCACTTTTACACAGAAACACGCCTTTCTTTATTTCTTCCCCACTCCCTCCACTTCGCTCACACTAAACTCTACTCCCAATACTCTCACCAAATGATTAAAAAAAAAAAGAAAGAAAAAACACAAAATTACGCCATGCCGCCTGTTGTGGACACTTCCGCAGAGTTTTTCGTGAAAGGTGCGGCAAACAGATTGAGTACACCCAATGCAATCATATACACTCCCACCACCCAACCTCCAACCTGCTGCCCCAACAACAACCCGCCCATGAAAACATACATAAAGGCACGACCAACATGAGAGAGCATAAAGCGTGAGAAACGCACCAAGTGTCGGTGCTGCATGAGATTTAATTCAGCTGCAGGGATTAGAACAGCAAAGAGTGTGATGTACACATATGCAATGTACATACGTACACTGTTGATATCATGTGGTTGAAACCACATTAACAGGAATAGCGCAAAACTACCACTACCAAATGCACCCAATACACCTAATATTTGCAGTCCACGCCCAACATACTCTGCCATTCCAGTCATTTTGGAATGTAGAGATTCCTTCTATCTAATCAACACAGAGAGGCACGAAAATTCCTGTGAAATTGCTTACTGCTGCAAAAAGAAAAAAAAAAAAAAGATTATTGTTGGAAGGGGGAAAGATATTTCATCACAGCATCATACCTTCCATACAAATAAACATACCGACACACAAAAAGACACAAAAACAATTTAAAGAAAGGAAAATAAAAGAAATAAAACATAATATCTCACTGTCAAAAATATCAATATTTCCATTGCGGTAATGGAGAAGGAATGTCTATGAAACCGTAGTCAGCAAAATTATATATTTGATTCTCATTATCATTTCAAGATGATGACTTTGTCCCTTCATCACCTTCTCCGATAAGTTTTTCCCATGCTGAGACCGTACCTTTGACCTTTTCCACTAAAGGTTTATGTCGATCCACTTCACGACGTTCCAATACTTTACTCACACTATCCCCTATCAACTGTTCAACTTTTGCTGGTTTCACTACTCCACTTAAAAGCTGATTCTGCTGTCGTTTACTTTTCTTAAACATATTATACTGATCATTTAGAAATGCGGCAATGCGAGCCTCACGTTTGCTGATACCACGAAAGGAAGGGGAATAAAGATACACCGTTATGTGAGTTTCATTCCACACCACATGAGGGTATTTATCACTACCATAACAAAAAGCCCAAAAACGTCCCATAAACAAGTACGCATCACGAAATTCAGAGAAAACAAATTCTCGCTTTAACGCCTCTTCTCCGGTAAATATAGTTAACGGCGATGGACCCTCTTCCATCTCCTTTGATGTACTACTTCTAGCCACAGATTCATCCACTGGCACCCATCCTTTTACACTTTTCAAAAAATCCTCCAGTTCATCATCCCGCATTCGTCGTTCATGACGAGCATAAGAGCCTCCATGCTGGGGATTAGAGTTGTGAAATACGTTAAACCCATAGTCACCTTTCCCTCGATACGAAACTAGCAAGGAACGAGAGAACAATTCTCTATAGGGAATAAAAGATGGAAGGAAGCAATGACGAAGCATGCGAAACTGACGACGATAATAAACTACATCACCTCTAGGGATGACTAAAGGTGGCATCGGTTACTCTACAAATATCGAACACTCCAAGGTACAAGAAATGATGAAAAATTAGAGAACTTTTTTGACACGCCACACATCCAAACCCAAATTCCTACTACAATAACAACAGAAAATAGAAACGTTCTCTGTATGCTGTTTGTGGTATAACCTCCTACACAGAGAAATACAGGAATCTGTCTATACCTTAATTATTATTATTATTTTTGCTTAAAAGAAAAAAAAAAGGGATAAGGAAGTCATTATTTCTTCTAACAAAGTATTGCTTTTGTTGGCCAAAATATATCAAAATCAACCACCACTAAGCAATAACGAAAAGAAGGTGCTAAAAGCGTCTTTAAACATGACTTCAGCACAGGACAATGAGGAAAGCCCTGGATGGACCTTCAAAAGCTTACCACACTTTACGACGAAACCCTAAAGTAATAGATAAAAGAAAAACATCATACCGTGTCATTCTTTTACTAAACACACATAGGGCTAGAACAATCTCTCTCGCAAAATCTCAAACAGAAAAATAAAAAAAAAATCGACAGAAAATCATGTATCCCACAACCTCTTTCCGTCTAACAGAATTTAGACATCGAAATCAACACACACGAAAAAAAGGAAAAAAAAAA